TATGACTTCATTGTAAACTACTTTAGATCAAATTATAACATGAGAATGTACTAAGATGTCACACTAAGTCTGTTGTAAAATCATAATTTAACATGCATTTTAAACATTTCACATCGTAATGAACATGTTTACCAAGTTTCAAGTTGATGTAACCACAAATAAATGTTTATAACTTAAGATGTTTGTGACGCCTTATTATAATTAAGCTGTTAATTTGTACTGTTGTTAGGTTAATTGATATTTGGTTGCTTAAAGTCCAGTGGCAAATATAACATTCATATTTACGACAATACTGTAATTGATATGATCTGAATTTTTGGTGAACCTTGAACAGGAGTTGATATTATTAATTGCCACAAGACAATATGGTCTAATGGAAAGGAGAAGAAGTTGTCTTTTAAAAGGTCAAAAAGGCCTTCCACCATCTTCACTAGCCAATGATTGGGGTCCGATCGTTACCTATAGCTATGGCTAGTGAAGATGGCCATCCACGTACCCTTCCGAAAAGTCAAATACGAGACCATGCCAAGAAATTGCCTCCGTTGAAATTGTGCAAACATCCCATAGAGCAAATTACATGGATGATTAATTTTGACCATTTGGTATATGGCTGTGTTTTAAGTGAGACGTACACGCGGGTCATAAATTAATTTTTGAATGAAATCAAATCTTTAACTACTAATGGATGCCGTAGGAGGTCGACCGGAATTTTTAGCGAGGATTTCTTGGCATGTAACAGATAGAAAACTCAGGGTAAACATTCATAGAACCGAGACAAGGGGCAGTGGCAAATATTTCATGTATATTTTGAACACAAAGAGGATTATCCCGGTACCCTTTGCCAAAAATAATCTTCTTTTTCTTCTATTTGCTAACGGACTTCATGTTATGAATTGTAGTTTCACTTTCCATATTCGGTATTTATTCTAATTTAAGCTCCACGTAGTAAAAATCACGTGATTCAGGAATATAGTATCTTGGAGTTAAACTATTTCTTTCTTTTCGGGCGGGGACTCCAAGCAAACAACATGCATGTGTATAACGGCACTGTAGATTTTCTTATTAAATAAAAAAAAGTTGCCGGTCCGGTACATGAATAGATCGATTAGAAATCAAAGTTTTAATTTTAATTAGATTAGAGGGTTGAAAATAGAGAGCACAAAAAAAGGGGAGGGGGTGGGGGTGTTCCACAGGGAATATTTCCTTCTTATGAACTCTACATCTGAAGGGTTTATTTTTTTTTTATTTGATTGAAAGAGAGAAAAACAAATGTAAGACAAATTGTGAATGGTCTTTCTTCCTTTCTCCCATGCCAAGAAATTGCCTCCGTTGAAATTGTGCAAACATCCCATAGAGCAAATTACATGGATGATTAATTTTGACCATTTGGTATATGGCTGTGTTTTAAGTGAGACGTACACGCGGGTCATAAATTAATTTTTGAATGAAATCAAATCTTTAACTACTTATGGATGCCGTAGGAGGTCGACCGGAATTTTTAGCGAGGATTTCTTGGCATGTAACAGATAGAAAACTCAGGGTAAACATTCATAGAACCGAGACAAGGGGCAGTGGCAAATATTTCATGTATATTTTGAACACAAAGAGGATTATCCCGGTACCCTTTGCCAAAAATAATCTTCTTTTTCTTCTATTTGCTAACGGACTTCATGTTATGAATTGTAGTTTCACTTTCCATATTCGGTATTTATTCTAATTTAAGCTCCACGTAGTAAAAATCACGTGATTCAGGAATATAGTATCTTGGAGTTAGACTATTTCTTTCTTTTCGGGCGGGGACTCCAAGCAAACAACATGCATGTGTATAACGGCACTGTAGATTTTCTTATTAAATAAAAAAAAGTTGCCGGTCCGGTACATGAATAGATCGATTAGAAATCAAAGTTTTAATTTTAATTAGATTAGAGGGTTGAAAATAGAGAGCACAAAAAAAAGGGGAGGGGGTGGGGGTGTTCCACAGGGAATATTTCCTTCTTATGAACTCTACATCTGAAGGGTTTATTTTTTTTTTATTTGATTGAAAGAGAGAAAAACAAATGTAAGACAAATTGTGAATGGTCTTTCTTCCTTTCTCCCATGCCAAGAAATTGCCTCCGTTGAAATTGTGCAAACATCCCATAGAGCAAATTACATGGATGATTAATTTTGACCATTTGGTATATGGCTGTGTTTTAAGTGAGACGTACACGCGGGTCATAAATTAATTTTTGAATGAAATCAAATCTTTAACTACTAATGGATGCCGTAGGAGGTCGACCGGAATTTTTAGCGAGGATTTCTTGGCATGTATAGACAAATCGAATAGGTCACCGAGTTTGCTTTTGCGCTAAAGGTTGTGCAAAATTCTTGCCCTATAGTATTTGTAAGGATTATATATACGGGTAAATTACTATTGTGTGACTGGTAGGAAAACTAAACTACACAATTGTAAAATAAAATATAAGAACAAACCGCTTTAAAAAGCTTTCGGAAAATAGACAAAAACATGATTGTTGCTACATAACAAGTAGATAAATTGTACCTTACATTTTAAACCTAAATAATATTTATCCTTAAAAAACAGACATTTACTTTTTGGAATCAATCAAAATTTATTTTTGTATCTGCCATAAACAGGTTTTACCACAAGATAAGCTAATACAAATTTCTACATTTGAATGAAAAGTCGTCCATTTAAATTGCTAATTAAGTCTCCCAAACGAAGTTTGGGAAGACTTATTGTTTTTGCTCAGTTCTTATTATTATTATTCTTCTTCTTCTTCTTCTTCTTCTTCTTCTTCTTCTTCTTCTTCTTCTTCTTCTTCTTCTTCTTCTTCTTCTTCTTCTTCTTCTTCTTCCGCCGCTTTTAAATTTGAACTTGTCCGCACCCGTTCTCCAAAACCGCTTGTCAGATTAACTTAGGGTTTCACAATATGTTAGACTAACATGTCTAGTGGTGCAATCAGGGTTTTGTTTGTGCAATGGGGTTTATAAAGGGGTACTTTGAGGGGCAAAAAGAAAAGAGGGTTTTACTATAGAACCCTATGGGATTTTATTTTTTAAAATTTTCAAATGATTATAATTTGAAAACCGTTTGTGATAGACACAATCTTTTTAATTGAAAATGTTGTAAATGATAAAGCCCATTAAATGAAATACAGGGTTAGTCCCCAGGGGCCACCCCCACCCCCTGACATTTAAGAAAGTTCTAATATCTTGTAAGTGGTCAAGATCCCCACCCCTAAACCATATATATTTTGGTTTGTTATGCTAAGATGGTTTGAATGATATACAGGGTTAGTCCGCAGGGGGCACCCCGACCCCCTGCCATTTGAGAAAGTTCTAATATCTTGTAAATGGTGGAGATCCCCACCCCTAAACCATATATATTCTGGTTTGTCATGATAAAGCACATCAAATGTAATACAGGGTTAGTCCCCAGGGGTCACCCCCACCCCCTGACATTTAAGAAAGTTCTAATATCTTCTATGTGGTCAAGATCCCCACCCCTAAACCATATATATTCTGGTTTGTCATGCTAAGATGGTTTGAATGATATACAGGGTTAGTCCCCAGGGGTCATCCCGACCCCCTGCCATTTGAGAAAGTTCTAATATCTTGTAAATGGTCGAGATCCCCACCCCTAAACCAAATATATTCTGGTTTGTCATGATAAAGCACATCAAATGAAATACAGGGTTAGTCCCCAGGGGTCACCCCCACCCCCTGCCATTTAAGAAAGTTCTAATATCTTGTAAGTGGTCAAGATCCCCACCCCTAAACCATATATATTCTGGTTTGTCATGCTAAGATGGTTTGAATGATATACATGGTTAGTCCCCAGGGGTCATCCTGACCCCCTGCCATTTGAGAAAGTTCTAATATCTTGTAAATGGTCGAGATCCCCACCCCTAAACCATATATATTCTGGTTTGTCATAATAAAGCACATCAAATGAAATACAGGGTTAGTCCCCAGGGGTCACCCCCACCCCCTGCCATTTAAAAAAGTTCTTATATCTTCTAAGTGGTCAAGATCCCCACCCCTAAACCATATATATTCTGGTTTGTCATGCGAAGATGGTTTGAATGATATACAGGGTTAGTCCCCAGGGGTCATGCCGACCCCCTGCCATTTGAGAAAGTTCTAATATCTTGTAAATGGTTGAGATCCCCACCCCTAAACCATATATATTCCTATTTGTCATGTCTCGAACATTTGAATGACGTATACGGTCAGTCCCCAGGGGTTCCCCCAACCCCAATGTTCTAATATCTTGTAAATGGTTGAGATCCCCACCCCTAAACCATATATATTCCTGTTCGTCATGTAATGAACATTTGAATGACGTAAAGGGTCAGTCCCCAGGGGTTCCTCCCCACCCCCAATGTTCTAGTATTTTGTAAATTAACGAGATCCCCACCCTCAAACCATATATATTCTGGTTTGTCATGCCAAGATGATTTGAATGATATACAAGGTTAGTCCCCAGGCATCACTAATGCATATAACTTTACTGGACCAAACCAATTTTCACTGGACGTTGCCCAATGTCAGGCGACCCTGGGAATTACGAATTATGGGAGCTTCGTTTGGGAGACTTCGTAACAGCATCCTGTTACAATCATTTCTTGTTTGCAACAAAATTTGATAATTGCAGTAAAACTTCAGTAACCGATTGCAGTCATTTGCGATCCTACATGGTTAAACAATACCATACTACTTTATATTCTTAGCTTGTCATCCTCACAACACTTTCCATGGAATGAATGTCCCAAATTAGAACGGCCTAACAGCTGTTAGCAAGGTAAATAACCTCCTACAAACTGCTGCAGATACTTACTTCGTAATAAAATTGTATACATGGTAGGTATGTTAAGGGTTAAGTGTCATCTAGCTCCTACAATGCTCATTAAATGAAGAAATGCAGTTGTTGTTTTTTTTTCAAGATCCATTCAGCTAAGTGTATGTTGTCTTTGAATATTTACAACACTAACACATTATTAGTCTTCATTTGTTTATTAGCATGGTATAACATAGTAAGAACATCATGAATATGTGAAATGTGCTATAAAAACAGAACATGATAAAAGTGTGTAAAACATTTATAGCTCTCTTTGAACATAATGAAAGGAAGCACTAAAATGTGAAACTCAAACATAAAACCGTCAGATACTAAAACTGGATAAAAGATGCTATAACAGTTTGAAATAAAACCATAAAAGCTGATTTGTCATAATTTTTTTTTTACAGAATGCCTAAGATTACCCGGATGTTTAAATGACACACGGCTAAAAAAAGGCTATACTTGTTTGAAATAAAAGCATAAAAGCTAATTTGTCATAAAATTTGCGTTTTTACAGAATGCCTAGGGTTACCCGGATTTATAAATGACACACGGTTGTAATACTGCGCGTTAATGCTTGTGCGCATCATCTATTTTTATCCCCTAGAAGATGTGACTAGAATAATAACTTATTTTGATTCATCTTGTAGATATTGATTGATTGACAGTACTTAATGTCGAATTAACCAGCACGAGTTTTAACTAAAGCCTAGTACCTTAATGACAGTAATCCTATTATAGAACGACATGTTGGAATGACTCTCTATGTATCATGCATTCTCCGACAATGAAATGTGTTTAATCACATAAAATATGTATATTTTGCATGAATGAGTATTTAAGTTAAATTATATTATGACTTATACGTTTGGATTTCTGTTAAGTTGTAAATTTATCTGAAAATGATTAAAAAGACAAATAAAAAATTACATTTGGCACAAAAATACGTTTATACATATATATAATATTTATATATGGCAACAAAACAATAATGGGACTTTCTTATTTTAAAGAATTATACATCAGCTACATAATAAATGTAAATAAAATATGGCAAGACAAAAACAATGAATAATGAGGTTATGTTAATAAATATTGCACATAGTGACAAACTTTAAACTTTCCCAATGCTACCACTTAAACACAGTGAAAGTGAAACGGTTTCAGGTCAAAAGTAAGGAGTTCTTGTATCTAAGTATACAGCTTTGTGCTTGAAGTAGGAGTTGTGGGGGGGTATATCTTTGAAGCATTTAGTTTGAGAATTCGAGGTAATTTACTTAAAATATCTGTCTCGGTCCCATGAGTTTTATTAAAAGGAGTCAATTTAAACTGCAGCCAAACTTAAAGGTGCTACCATTTGATTTTTATGGGGGGGGGGGGGGGGGGGGGGGGCAAGGATGAAAAATGTTGTCCTGCATTTTCTTTTTCACTCTATTCGGTCCTGCCTAATCAAATGGTAGCTCCCTAATTGCATTTCTATCTCAAAATGTTAACATATTATTTTTGAAGTTGACATTGAACTGATCCACTTTCAACAAGCAGTGATAGACATTCAATACAACAACAGGCACTTCTTGGGTACATCACACTAAATATCACGTATAGATTCTCTATTTGTAATAAAGAAAAATACATCGTTTACTTATTTACAAGGTATGATATGGTAGGAGCACAGACAAGGCATGTGATATTTGTGATTAAATCATAAAATACCTAGCAAAATTACATTGGAAAGTAGACCGGTTTTCTTATGGATGGCCGTATAGTGAACAGGTGTTATCTAAATGGGCCTGATTTCAATGTACAAAAAATAATGATATTCATTGTGAAATAACAACGTTATTTTGATTTTAAATTAGGAGGGCAATATGTCTCGTCTCATACTGCACCGGACGTCTCGTTTTTTTTCTTCAACTGGCGTGATTTAAATTCATACTGGCCGCGGTTAATTGATATTTCAACAAGAATATCACAAACAATTGTTTCACTCATTTTCTCTGTTAATGCTGACATTGTCAAGTCAACACGTTAAAATTGTGAAATATTTTTTTAATAACTTTAAATGAAAGGTTATACCGGAAACATGTGTCAAGAGCACTGAAACCTGACATCTTGCAGTCGTCTGCCTTAACTTTTTGAATGAAGATGAAAAATAAAAAATGATTTCCTTTAAGGAAAATTGAATGAATGATATAGATGTTTTACAATATCTATAATTGTTATGCACGAGTATTAATGTCTTGTTGAGTATATGCATCAACATTTTACTACTTTTAAATAGCATACGTAAAATTATATTGTGGTATCAAAACCATACGGGAAAACAAGTAAATAAGTATAATTTCTTCAAATGTGCACAAAAAGCATCGTAACTCTGAATATAGGTATTTTGAGTAGAGGGACTAGGTGATAATTCTTAGTAAATCGCATACTAGTCTAGTGACTTTGTTTTCAGTAAAAAATCATTAAGTCTAGAAATTTGATTTAATTTCAGGATATTCACTTAAAGTGAAACCAGGCAAATGAGTATTCCAACTAATCTTAAGGAAAATTTTGTTTTTAAAATATCCTTCTATGTTAGTCCATGGCAACAAGACTTTAACTCCTCACACATAAAATAATTAATATTATCTGACAATTTTGAACAATTTTGTGGGGTTGTATCGATTTGTACAAAGTAATTAAGATGCAGATATTTTCTGCTTGGTTTATCAATATTGATAAAAACTTAATATTAGCTGTTTGGAGCATTCCGCAAGTACTTTGATTATATTGATATAAATCATTTGATAACATACTTAATGCAAGGGAAGAATATCTTGTACAAAATTTTCAATAGTATCACAATTTTTTTTTTATTTATTTTTTTCAAATGATAAAACAATATTTAAATTATCTTCATTATTTATAAAATAGGGAGATGTAGTGCATAAATATTGGGTATGAAACAGCTACCCAAAACACAATTAACACAAAACAGGACATTTTCACCAAGAAATTTTTCAAAAATATTAAATTTTAGTCAATTCAGAGAATCCTGCAATAGTGACATTTTTCAAAAATCCCCTTGAAATAACAATACTGTCATTTGTATCAATTTTACATGATACGAAATCAAATGGCTGATCTTGTCAAACATTTTAATAACCAAGAGTTGGTTAATTAGATTCGACTGTTGCAGGATGTTTTGTTTTGCCTCCAATCATGGTTATTTCTGTAACTTCCAATATTTGTACAATAGACATGTTGATTATCAAATTGGTTGTAACAGGATACATGTCAAATTCTAAATTCATGAAAATAATTGTTTTATTGTTATAGGACCTTTTAAGGGGACAGTTTTGAAATGTTTATCAGGACAATTTTGAAATGTTTATCAGGACAATTTTGTAATGTTTATTACTGTAACCTTTTTAAAAATATGATACAGCAATAAATATTTGTATCGATTACTATAAATGTTATACCATATTATATATGATTGGACATGATCCTGGTCAATTTATTATTCATATAATGTCTAGATATAAGGGAAAATGTCTGGGGCAATTGGTCTGTAACATGCAAAGTTCACATTACAATGAGATAATTAAGTCTTAACCAATATCATGATTGATAGTAAATGTCTTACATATATAATATGTGCACCAATTTGCCTTGGCATTCATCCATATTCGGAAGCATACAATTATTACCCACGTAACATAAATAGTCACATATACAAAAACACTTGCATAACTTTCATACATTATAAATTATAAATAATAAGCAAATTACAAGCAAAATATGGTAAAACTCGTTTATAACTAACTCAATTTATTACTAAGTGATGGCCAAAATGATGATTGGTTTCTACTGACCTAGTTTTTAGCCATTAATACTAAGTTTAGTAATGACGACTTTCATTTGTCTCTCAGTTTCATATCAAAGATTATTCCTTTAGAAATTTTACCGAAAAATGTTTGCATGTATATAAAATAACTTAAGTTCAATAACCAAGTTTTTGCTACATTACTAATACTATAAGACATAATAGATTCTACTACACTGTCCCGTTGATTACGAAATGTATCCAATCGAGATATTCGATTTTTCTAATTTTAAAATGCGAGGCTTGCCGAGCATTTTACTTCAAGTATAACCAGGAACCATAACCGAGTTTTACCCTCTCCGGGTGGGAGTTTGCTCTATCATACATAATGCCAACAAACTATGAGTCTACATCACAGTATTTTGATTTTAAAAAAGGGGAACCTTTTTGACAACAAACATTTTCATTCTAATTCATAAATCACCGGTATCATACTCAATCTGATATCCACAATACACCAAACAAATCAATCGTTCGAGTATCTATCTCCTTTGCAAAAAAAATATGCAAAGAATAGCATGAATAAATCAATAATTAGCACCATTAACCAAATGCATGTTGACCAAGCACATGTTGTTCATGTTATTTCAGTAGCACTAAGTTTATAATTCCAACAAACATTAATGGTAGAATGAACTTACTGACATAATAAGTGTTAAAATTATTGTTAATGATGGGAATAAACTGTCACTACCACTGCCTGGTGATTTAATAGCTTTGACTGACTGGTAAGAGTTTTTGTCATAAGTGTCACAACCCAACCAATGTTTCTTAATCAACTTTGGATAACCCTTCTGCACTCTCATCTTCTTGTCGTTGAACTGGTAATAAAATTGTCCTTTGAAAAAATACGTTTTACCTGAAAGAGAAATATAAATGAACAAATTTTGACCAGACTAAAGACTAGACCTAGATATCATTTCTGCTTGAAGATAATTCATCTTCTAAAAATATAACATTTCACAGCACCCAAATTAATCTAAAAGTCATTTGAAAATATATAAAAACTACGAGGATACTACAGGGAAAATCTGGTATCACAAGCCGAAGTCAGACGACACACATCAGGAACATAGCCATGCAGTCTCATAGGTTTTGATTTGTTTTGTTTTGTTTTGTGTTTTGTTATGTTTTGTGTTTTGCTTTGTTCTGTTTTGTTTTGTTTTGTTTTGTTTTGAGTTTTGTGTTTTGTTGTATTTTGTTTTGGGGGGACGGTCATGACGCCCTGACATTATTAGTCAACAAACTTTAATCACGACTTAAATAGTAACTTTGTTTTTGTTTTATAGGGATATTCAAATGGTGTGTTCATTACCAATGATAACAGCACCTACTTCTGAGGATAGATGACACCCATGATTACCAAAAACAATTTCAATCAGTTGTCCATAGAAAATAGCACTCAAATAAATGGTTGAGCATAATCACACACACCCCTCCAAATGTCAAACGGGGATAGGATTGGGAGGGATTCAGGTGCTCCTCAAGTGTAAGCAGTTGTTGCTCAACTGGTGGAATTCGTCCTATTGCTGATGTTTTTGATGTTTTTTAATAATTCGGGGATAAATGTTCATTGTTAAATTCTAGCTAAAAAAATGTTAGTAATTCAGATTTTTTGCTTATAAATATTTGTAAACAGTACGGAAGAACAGTGTGTTTCTACATCTCTGTCTATATATCAATCATTTTCTAAGATAAACCGAGTGATATCATCGACTTACTTCAAAGAATGAAACCTTAGAGAGGTGTCTAAAGAGAGATTTATATAGAAAAATAGAGTGTCTATAACAAATGTATAGCTTATTTTATGTCCTTCCTGTTCAAAGAAACATTGGTTTTAAGGTTTAGCCCTTATAATCACATTGAATGTACATTAATCTTGTCAAATTTCGGCATTCATCAGGCTATTTATAGAACTTCTTAGCTTAAAGCAGCTTAATTTGAAACACTCTTTTTCAACTTTTATTGATTTGAACGTACAGATATTACTTAAGATTGTTGTTTAATCATAATAGAAAATTAACTACTAGTTACTAGTTTGTTCAAAATGACATTCTTTGTCTCAATATTTGTTATCATTTAATAAACATTAAACCACCAAAAGCCAGTTTCAAGTTAACTGTAAAAAAAAAATTAATAAACAAAACGTAGTCTTTTTTTTTTTATAGTAAAAATATATTAAAACAATGCAACATCATCCTCCTCGAAAACTGATTTTTTTTATTACGTTTTTATTTCATTCTCTCACAAATCATTGTGAGAATTTGCATGATCATTCTATTCATACTGTATTCAAACCTACTAGACCAGTGGCAAATACATTCAATTTACCGAACTTCTTTTATTTCTACTATAAAAAGGAAGAAATATCTTACCATCCCAATATTTAAACGCAGAATCCAACGGAACCGGAACCTTCCGCCAGATGCTCATGTCACGTGGGTAGTCTGGTTCTATATAGTCGTTCTTCTCGTTGAGCTTCCAATACATGTCACCACTAATAATATAGGTCCTGTTGTTGAAACCCCAAACAAAAACTGCATCGATTTTCTTGACGTCTGCTGGAAGGCCTAGTTCTGTGAGAGGTATGCCGGTCTTTGGGTGACCTGGTATAAGACTGTTGCCATTGAATGTCCAGAACTTGTCGCCTGAAATGGTAGATGGATGTATTTTGAAACTAGGGGATTACTAAACCACAGTTTTACTTGATAATTGTCAGTACTTTAAAACTATTTAACTGATTACAATTTGCAGATCATTTCCTTTTTTAAAACATTTCCAGTAACGTTGACATGAAAATTTTTGCACTGAAATAATGATTGAAATTGAATTATGTACTTGTTTTGCATTATAATAGAGATAACTGTATTGTATTTGAAGCTTTGCGGACGTCCATCGGTAGTTTTACTGTCGCAAATACCCGTTTACCGATTGTTTTTGAATCCAATCCTTTTTTGTGGTCATGATCACACATTTCACTTGTATCGATTTCTAAATCTTTTCAATCCGAGTGTACGGTCTGCACTTTATCTTGAAATGGGTGTTGTTTTAATAAATTCATATTTTTTTTTGTTAAAGATGGATTCTGGATTTTGTACTTAATTATACTAAAGTTATTACCCAATAAATTAAACAATAAATACAATTTGTGTGAAATATGAAATCAGGACGATAACGTGATGTTTCATGAAATGTTCTTGATTTTTCTATTGGAAATTTGCCTTACAACAAGGGAGGTCTGATTATGGTACAAAAATCCCATTAAAACTAACATGTTTAGAAGAGGGAGCATGTGAATTAATTGAGGAAAGTAAAACATCTTGGAATTTGCCAGAAAATATTCTTTGCATCAAAATTTTTAAGGCAGTATTAACAAATTTATGAAAAAATACCTGCATTACAAAATTAACCTTGAGATAATGCGGTCCCTATTATATATACGTGCCAGATGTCAAACTTGTCTACATATTAAGGAAATCCTGTCTATCTAATTACCGCCTATAACATACCTAAGAAAAATAAAATCCTTCCGTCGCTCTTCCGCTCAAAAACTGCGTCAACGTGGTCAGCTGTGGCGGGAAAACCATACCAGAAGGAATGAATCTCTGTTGGCTTGCCTTGGATAATACCTCGTGAATCTAACCGCCAGAATGTCTGTAAACAGAATGCAATAGTTCAGCCAACCGAATATATTTTTTAAATGCATATACTAAACCCTTAACTGTTCACCGAGCTTAACAAAGAAAACATACAATATTTTGTACGGATTTTGATAAAAATAAAAGTAATTTTGGGTGTATAACAATAACACGGGAACCGAACATTCCTAGAAAGGAAAATTGCACACCCTTCGACAACCAACAAGCGTCTTTTGCACGTCAGGTGCGCATATTTGGTATTTTTCACTGATTTTAGCAGGATCGATTTCAATCATTTTGATTGATCATGTTTTTAAAAATAGTGCAACGATCCTATTCAATTGGCCTTACTGAAACTATAAAACTAAACGAACAACCAAGTTGTCTTCAACATTTTTGTCAATAATAAAACTTTTACCTAAGCTTCAACTACATAACATAAAACAATGTGTATATATAGCTTTAACCATGATCCTAGACTTAAGTTTACAGCAATAACATTCATTAATGGGAATACTAAATTTAGATATAAAAACGTCATGATAAGCACCTATAAAGTTACAAACGTCAACAAACACCCATAAAACTGCAAATGTCAACAAGTTTAAGGTCTCTTGATTATAATACTAAGTATATATAACTTGGAGATGTTTTATTCTACTACATGTAGTATAGCTATATTTAACTCGATTATATTATGTTTTTTTTTTCTTGTTGTTTTCTTTTTTTTAGAACTGGGGAAATTGCACAAAATTGTGCAGAGTTCTTTTATCATATTAAATCGTGTTTTTTATCATATTAAATCATGTTTTATAAGAATTTCAAGATCTTTCAAGTTATCGATATTCAAATCTACAAAATCCGTGTCAATATGAAAGATATTTTAAAAGAATTCCGTGTCTCTCTCATGTAAAAGTAGACAACAATAGGATATGCATTTGAACCAACTATTTGGGGTTAACCTTTATCCATTTAACATTAACACAACATACCTGACCCATGAATAAGAAAACTTCTTGACGAAGAACTGCAATTGCTTCAAACGCATGTTCACATGGGTTAATAGTGGTCCCATCAACATGTGGTCTCCTTGTCGTTTGACGTGGTCTAGGTGTTGTTGGTTGAGGCTGGTATCGAGGAGTGATGGGTCTGTCTTTGTGCGTTGGTCTGTCTTTTGGTGGTGGTCTATAGCCAGATTTGCCACCTGTAAATTAAATGATGTATCAAAAGCAAATAAAAATTAAATTTGTATTAAAGGTTTCAATTCCATTCAGTTAGACAAATCATATAAGGATGAGGTTTTGTAAACAATGTCAAATCTTCATTATTTATTCCTACTGTCTTGGATCCAATAAATAGAAATGTAATATTACATGGTTCACGAAAGAGTTGTTATACTTTTTGATTCTTCTTATTTTTAATTTCATTATTAACAAAAACACATCTTAGTCCTGAAAGAACGAATTTGAAACCACAGCGTATGAGCATGCCTACAGTTTAATAATGTACTACTGATATAACTCACATCAATCCTATAGTATGATTTCACTAAAAAATCTATTTTTCTATCTTTTTATTAACTCGCCCTTTTTTTTTTAATTTTCACAATATAACACTACAGTTTTACTAACAACAGTCAACAAAAGAAACTGTTCAGCTATGATATAATTTCTTGCTATCGTACAGGCAGCATGAACTTTAACCTTTAAACTTAAAACGTTTGAGTCATTAGACATCTTGGAAGTCAAAGGTTAGGGATGTTACTCTAGAATGTGTAGGTATACTTACCATAAAGAGTCTGAATCCCTTGGATATCGTCATGTGGAAGTCTAAAATTTGGAATGTAACCTTGATACCATGGATACATGAGTGCTCCAGGCTGGTTGCTATGGCTGAGACCTAAGGCGTGACCAAACTCGTGGGCTGCTACCATAAACAAGTCCACGCCTAAAATTGAAGATTAAACCATGAACGTATAATATTGAATACCATAGACTGTACAATACAAGGGACGAAACAGAAAAAAGCCAGGAAAACACAACTTTTTTTTCAGTCTTCTCCTGGCATGTCTGTTCAAGCAATACAAACACATAACTCTTTTAAGATATTTCTTCCATGATGGGAGCATGAAGTCCAGAACAGTAAATATAAGCAATCCTTTATTTCAATTAAATGACATAACTGTTCTTTAAGTCTAAATTTTAGTCTTAGATACATGATTTTTTTATTAGTTGTTATTGGCTTCGGATTAGCTGTCAGTAATTGCGAGTATTCTCAGATCTGTAATTATTGTATTTTTTGTTGTTAGGGATGAGGAGTGGATAAATACCCTGCCACGTCATGTTTGTGTTTTTGTGTGATGTTTTTCTGCTTTGTATCGATCTGATGAGTTAAGATCGCTTTTTTCAACTGATTTTTATAGTTTGTTTTTATTTTGCGCTGTTACACCACTGTCCCAGGATCGGGGAGGGTTGAGCGCTCACAAACATGTTTAACCCGCAACATTCTTTATGTGCCTGTCCCAAGTCAGGAGCCTGTAGTTCAGTGGACGTCGTTGGTTCATGTCTGTCATTTGTTTTTCGTAAATAGTTTTGTTATAAATTAGGCCGTTAGTTTTCTCAATTGAATTGTTCATATTTTTCATGTCGGGGCCTTTTATATCCGACTAATACGGTATGTGGTTTTCTCATTGTTAAAGGCCGTACGGTTGTCTATAATTGCTTACATCCATTCATTTGAACTTTGGTGGGTAGTTGTCTCATTGGTAATCATATCACATCTCCTTATTTGTATATGGTTCTACCTGTAATATTAATAAATGAACTCGGGTTACAAAAAAGAATTTTTGGGGGGATTTGTTATGTTCAGTAACGGAAAAGGCATTAAAAAAAGAACATTTAGTAGAAATAGACATTTAGCACTTTATTTGCAAAAAAGTGTTCTTTTCATATTTGGAACAAGAAGAGAAAAGGAAACTCGTGGTTAAAACGTGACAACAAATACCCGACTTTAAATTATCTACAGACATAGCATTTCATTCTACTAAAAATAATATACGAATTTGGCATTTAAATGTGTTAAAGGTATTTCAAGTGTTGTACCTGCTGTAGGTGTCACTTACTTATTTTAATGTTTAAATTTTTTTTTTAATTATAAGTCCGTTTTAAACGTACTCATTTTAACAAAAAATAAATATATATTCAGAATATGCAAACAGAAATTTGATTTTTTCTTCTTCTTCACCCAAAATGTACCTCTTACTAGTATATTAAAGATTTAACAGTACTTTTATTGGTTTCAAAACTGCTTTCTTTAAATTGTTACTTTTGACTTATGGCCTGTTGAGGTTAATCATAAGTGATGACTACATTATACACTAAACATTACTCATCCAGACAAAGGATTCTATCTGGAAACGATTCTATCTGCCAAAGTATCAAATCCAGCCATTCGATAATGAACAGATTTTCATCAAAGAAGTTTGTTTTTCTTTGTTTCTTATTTCTAATCTGTCATTTCAATTAAGACAAAGCAATGCCAACGCACTTCCTACAATTGATAAATTAGTGCCAGTTCCTGGTAGTACGATAACCTATTTCGCCAGGTATATATAAAATCAAGGTGTTTGTCTTAATAAACAGATGTTACTATTGATTTCTGCATGTTCAGTTTTGCAATACATTGTGCATACCAGAGAAAAAAACATTAAAGTCAAATATTTCATTTTTCCATCAATAACGAAGCACTCAATGTACACGACATTTATTGATAATTTTATCAATATACTAATTCAGTAATTTGATTACATGATGTCATTCCAAACTTGTCGGTAGGTGCAGTTTGAGGGTTGCAATACGCAAAAATCATTTACGTGTTAACGATTGTATTGAGAGTGGTCAAGTAAATTTAATAATTAGAAACGAATCGTGCTCACCTCGAGTGGAAAAGGGGGAGTGGTGGCGTTGGTTCTATCCCCGACCTGGTCAGTCCAAACTTTAAAATTAGTATTTGCAACTATTACGCTAAGCATGCTGCATTTAAGAGTAAGTGGTTGGCTTGGCGTCAGAATAATGTGTCCGGCGGACTGTTACCTTATTCAGTCAACTAACACGTTAAAAGCCGGGTCAGTATATCGGTCTACGGTACAGAGAAGGGTTCACATTATTCATATCACATTAACATGCATTTGTCACTAGACGTTAAACACACATATATCATCATCATCGTCAAAAATACATGTAATTACGTATTGAAACCAACTCCAATTCAAAACAATGATCAAACTCAAATAATGGCGATGTGCACTAGTTCTTAAATATTTCTATGGGATTTCTAATACCCCTGGACCCCACTACCGACTTATATTTCAATTCGTTTTCTCTCTCTCTTTTTTGTTCTATTAGTTTAATAATTGTGCTTTCAATTTTCTTCTGGATATAATTCAAAATTGCATAAGTATAGAAAAGAAGCATATATACCATCAGAATCTGAGTTGAAAGTCCATGTCTCGTCATCATCAAAATGGGTGTCACCGCCTTTATCTGAACCTGGGAAAAAGGCATGGGCTAAAACTAAACCTACAAAAAAAAATGTTTAAGTTATACATATAGGAAATGCACACAGATTCTCATAAACAAATCAAAGTTTTTTTCCTGCATGAGATTACATCGATATGACGGTATGTTATCTCAATCTGGCCTTGTTTTCAAGGTGTCGCATTGAAATTCCCTCAATCGTTTTACACATGTTAAAAAGGCACACTGTTTTCTGCAAAAATATCAAATTAATTCCCTTTGTTTCCATGTTGTTCATGGTATTTTATTTTTATCTATTAGGACAAATGTAAAATAACTAGTATTATAACTCTTCTACAGAAAGTACCACGAGTCGATGCTTAAAGTTAAAATTCCTACTTGTATAATTATTCAGTATGAGTCATTTCTGAAATGAGCAATCAAATGCTTCCTAAATGCATCCCTTATTCAATCAAAACTAAGGTCATTTCAAAATTTCATTCTATTCGCTTTAAACTTTCATGGTATTCAATAATACCTTTGCCATCGAAAGGATAACCATCTTGATGATATAGTCTGGCGAACTGTATAATGATATCGGCATCTCCACCTCCAACTTCTGTAAACCGAAGGTCTGTCACACCTTCCCATACCTTGAACGCCTCGGTTATTGCACGTCTTACTGTGCTTTGAGGTAAATCAGGAGTGTAATTGGTAATTCTGAAAAAGAAAGAGTTTGAGTGTAACTGTACGAAATGAAACAAAATAGGGGAAAATCAGAAAATCCTGACACAGCCTAACTGTTTAAAAATGTTGATGTTCTTGAATGAACTCTGTCATTATTTTGCTGAAAAGGCTTACAAACAACAACACTGTCGGTTAAATGTGATATTGTGATTTATCATACTTCTTGTTTAAATGCCAGTTTTCCATTGGTTGATACAAGGGACCTCACGGAAAAAACAGTGTCAACCTCGACTTCGACTCGACTGAATGTTTTTTCTCTCGGAGTAACGATCTGCTTATTTGGCCTCTCAACTATCACTTATTTATATAATAATACTTTAATATAACCAAAATAGAATCATCCGGTCAAGTGTGGTCAAATTTGATGTTCAGCATGGCATCTGTTTTGGCAGAGCATTTTTATTATGCTTTGAGTGTTGAATAAGTTTTAATAAAATAAGACACGGGTATACGACGAGACAGCAATCAAACGACATTTACAACCAAACATCTAGAGGGCTACATACTCTCTTCAGTTGTCAAAGTTGTGTATTAATTAAATATAAGCAATCAAAGATCTCACATCAACATCAAATTCTCAAAACAAAAGAAAAAAAACAACATTAAGATATGACGTCACATAACCACTGACGAGAGACTGGATCATGTTTCATTTTTAAATCTAATTTTTGAAATGCTTTGAAGAATAGAATAATCAATGTTATGAAATTTAAAAAAAAGTGATAATAGGTGGCCATGTTTGCTGTGTAATGCAGATAATTCTATTATATATGAACTGCAATAACTGTGTGTGGTCAGTGGGAACCTAAATGTTCTTTAAATATGTTATTATATACATTTATTTTCGATTTACACTAGAAACATTAGTTATATTACACATTGGGTGGTATAATGTTTTACAGCTTTCGTGATAAATTCTCAAATAAATCTAAGTACAGTAAACTACAATAATTTTTAATTGAACACAGAATAATATACATGTATATATCTAACATGCAAAATTATATAAAGATGTAAAAACACTTAACATGAAACATATATAACTACCAATAGTAAAATGATATTTGAGCTACTTTCGTGTAACAGGTAGGAAGGACTCATTACGAAATTTGCTTCTCGGCAGAGTATGAATCACTACATGTGTAGAATATATTGAAGTAAGATCGTGTCGCATTTTTTGATGGTTTAGAAACCACTTAAATGGTACAAGCTACGTCTTTTGCAACACGAACGTGCACGCACTTATATATCTATCCAGCAAACATGGCCACCATCTTTATTCACAAAACCTCTTTACTTTACTCTACTTCCTCCTCTTTACTATATTTCCTCGTTCATATGAATAAACAACTTTTTGAAAGATTTTAATCAAGGCGAAGCACTTTAAAATAATTGTGAATGTCTGTTTAATTTTTGGAATTGAATATTTCTCGAAATACTTCTTCCTTCTATAAATAGGGTAAAACACAGACGTTGGAGCAACCCACGTATTTATACAATTGTTGTAAAAAGTACTGTCGCTATTGCAGAGACATATATGTATTATAGGTCTCTGGCTATTGTAACTGGTTGAATTAATCTTAGGGTTCCTATTTCTTGAACATTTGCTTCCGGTGTGAGGGCGCCAAATATCTTTTGAAATGTTTATAATGTCCCGTCATCAGATAAAAGGTTTTGGAACGACCTCTATCATGTATATTGACCTTTTATCGAATAGATGTGAAATCTGTTTTCTTCGAAGATCAGCACATTGCATGAAAATCCAATAATATTGCTTGGTGATACAGCGTGACCATGTATCCACCACAATTAAACTTTTGCAAACCATGTACACATTAGATGCTTCTTCTCGTGATATGACTAGTTACATATGGTGGTAATCATTATAAACTTTGACCGGTTTTATATTACATACTAAGTAGGTTATCAGCAGGAGAGATAGCAAGTTTCTAGATTTGAGCAGAATGTTACCCTTCGTCGCTTAACTGACCAGTAGGAATAAAAATTTATAACAAGAAAGGAACGTCATTTAAGCCCATGAAAACGAGGCTCTTGGCGTTATATTAGATAATTTACTTTCAATCTTGAAAAAAAAACAAATGTTGAAATAACCAGTAGAATGGACTTGAAACGAGAATATAAAATACCCATGGCAGAATAAACAAACAACAAACAGCAATCAACACGAACAAAACTGTACACGAGACTAGTGTTTGCCTATATGTGCACTAAGGCTGTATATGTAAGGTGGACTTCGTGAAGGAAGCCGCCACTTACGAACGTTTGTTAATGTTTATAACTTCTACTATAATGAAAGGTTTGAGTTAGTTGTAGTCTAATGAATTCCGATAGCCACTGTAATGGCAAGAGACAAAGTTGGGTAACGCCTTTCCTTTCGTTGATTAAAAGAAAAATATGAATTTGTTATTGACATTGTATCTAAAAAAGTAAGAAGACTGCTTGAGTGTAAAAGATCAGTTAGTTTTATTTACCCATTAAGATTACTTTATAACTGATATATCATATACAAAAAGACTGCTTGAGCGTAAAATCAACTGGTTTTATTATCCCTATTAGATAACGTGTACCATATTATATTCATACAAACAAATTAGATTTTGTTAAAGTTTCAGTAACCAACGAGTTCAGTAACACAACTATTAGCATGAGATGATACTTTTATTTAGGGGCCAGCTGAGGACCACCTCCGGGTGCGGGATTTTCTCGTTGCATTGAAGACCCATTGGTGGCCTTCGGCTGTTGTCTGCTCTTTGGTCGGGTTGTTGTTTCTTTGACATATTCCCCATTTCCATTCTCAATTTTATCAAATTGCTCGCACGTATTACGCTTATTGCAGGACATAATAGCTTTGTTCATGTAATAGAGACAAACTCCCCTTATTCAAGACACTGACGTTTTCGATACCATTCATGACCGTTTCATATATGATAGCTTTTCTTCAATTTTTTTTTTTACATGGTCACTATTTAAACAATTTGAGATGAAGACAAGAATGCGTTTTCAAATAAAGTGGTTGCAACAAGCTTCTTGGTTTAAAACTAAAAGGAAATCACTGTTATTGATAAATAGACTCAAAAGATAACAAGATATTGAATGAAAGTCATATTTCACACCAGTGTCAGTCATGGCTTTTGTTATGGTAAAAGGATTCAATAAAAGTACTGCACTGTTTTCTTTTCTTATAGATTCCAAGCACTGAACAATCTAAATTGAATACAGGAAAAAATATGATAACTTTAACAAAATCAATAGTTTTATAGAGAGGTTTATGTGAAAATTACTTTTTTTCTAGATTGACAATATTTCATGGAGCGTAAGTGATTACTGGAAAACACAGATAATACAGAAAACATGCTAAAACACGGAAACATAAAACCGGTATCAGGGTTTCATCCAATTCTGTCCTAATGAAATTATACAATTTTATTGCTACAACAATAATTTGCACTTAGATGCTAGACACATTTCGAGACTACTAATGAAATGCAGAAGGTGGTCGACATGAATGCATATATATATACAATGCTGATTCAAGTATGAAATGTATCACTTTGTGAAAACGACACTTACACGATTACTTGTGAAACAAATTAATTTTGAATCATCAGTGGTTATCGCAATGTGTGTGTGTGTGTGTGTGCGTGCTTTTTTTCTGTCAGAAAAAAGAAAACACAAGTATGTGTTGGTTCATGTTATGCAAATAAAATCGAAAATTAAATATTAAAGTCTTTTCCCATGAAACTAATGGTAAATCGCACCTTTATGTAAACCAAATCCCCATGTGACCCCAGAAACATAAGTCTTCAACAGTTCTAATACTCATTAGTTCCAGATGTTTTCTATATTTATTTATACAGAAGCTAGGTCGAGTGTTGGGGCTCAAAACGGGGACTTTAAAACAATTTTAAGTAAAGTTTTAATCTTGAAGTACACCTTTGAACTTGTTACAACAATGACGCTGTAAGAGGTATTGTCATTTGTAAATTTTGTAAATTAAGAGAACATTTAATCAGTATTCTGCCAGTTTTCAATAACATATAATTTAAGACACGTGCACGACAGAAAAACAAAGAACTACGTATTATAAACTCCACTAAGAGAAACTAAAAAGTATCGCTACTAAAACCAAAGAAAATCTCTACAAACAACATAACTTAGCTATACTACGTTCACATAAGATTCTAATCAAATACATATAAAAGTCCATGAAAGACTCCGGTCACTCCAGATTTATTCCATTTGTCAGTAGATGGTCAGCTATTGTTGACAGTCATTGCCGTATGCCCTCATTCATGCAGGTTGTGATGTTTCTTATCTACATGACAACATGATGAACAAGGGTACAGTAGCAACAATCGTTTGATGATAAATCCCGCCTAGAACGTGACATCTTCTGTTGCTGAAACCTAAAAGCAAGATGGCGGCCCCAACTCGCAAATCACGACTGTTCTCAAAGTTGTGTGGAAGTGAAATATTAGATGTCATAAGACATATGATTTTACCATGCACGTGGAACCGAGGTATAACATGAATTTTGATTGGCTTAACTGATGCTATTTTCCCAAATCTTCTCACAGTATGAAGTGAATGTCCTTCCACATGTTACTGATTGAGGTGCTCAACAGGAGTTCTTCACCGAACGCGGTCAGCTTTTGGCATACTGAGTACCAGAGATAATTGGTGTATGATGTTATCTCATATTCTTGCAAGATATGATGAAAGTACGTTTATCAATTTAAAGATTTTTCAGATATAAATATTCAAGGATAAAATCTCTCGGTTTGTTCCCTCCTGCCTAACCATCTTGTGATTATCAATGACGGGAAATCTACAAAGTGCACTTAGCTTTCTCAAGGATTGTGTGCTTCACCATTTCAAATCTTAAGGGTAAACTTTGTAACAAGTAGGTAATTAAAATATGAAAGAAAATCGGTCCTTTTTAATATTGAAGATTTATAATCAGATGTATATACTTGTTGGTGTTTTTACTCTATAGATAAGGGCAAAAAAGCTTACAAAAAAAAGTTTTTGTACGTATACATAATGTAAGATGTACACAGCTCAGAAAGAACCATCCACCCCCTTCATGAAGACATGAACTGGAATGGTCCATTGTCAAGTCTCTCTATAATAGTTAATGACACCAAATGTCAACTAGCAACTTATCTTATCCATCAATGTAAGCACTGTATAGTATATACAACATCTTTTTTTTATAAAAAAATAAAGATCATATATAAGTTGCTTTTTTATAATTCGCTTCTTTTAAATCTAGTATATTTGCTTTTATAACGATTTTGGTTTTGATTTTAGGAGTTCCTACACTAGTACCGTTAGGACTACGTAGGAGATAGTGCTGGTTTGAAATATCGTTACCTTGGCGTCCCATTTAAGAACTTCGGGTTTTTTCGGTTCTTTATAATGTCATGATGTGTCTTAATAATAACCTAAAAAATTCAATAAAAATGCACCTTTTTTTCTAATTATTCTGGTATTGAAATAAATCTTCCTAACTATAATTAATTTGCTGATTGCAGATATGAATTTCAGTTTTAAAGACTATTTAATTAATTTGATCATTCAGTCTAGAGATTAAATAATAGCCAAAACCGCATCCGGACTATAACAAAATTATACCTATTGAATTAAGACTTACCTATACGTAAGATCTTTTTTGTCCCACTTAGATGGTGCCAATACGTAACGACGCATGCGTTCTTCTGAGTCTATAACAGTGTCTTTGTTGCCACATCGAGGTTTCTGAAGCCATTCTTTGGTACGTTGGTCTAGAACACCAGTCTCGGGGATACCGGCGAATTGCTGGAAGTTCCTAATGGCTTTTGGAAATTCTGCCGGGTTCATGAGGTTACCTGTTTCACTAGATGGACCTTCTAAATACCCAAACCGGCTGAAATAATCCTGCAAGAACAAAAATGGTTTATGTCAACTCTCTTTTTATAATCACAAGGTGAAAAATATTATATGCAACTAAAATTGTTTTATTATTTTTCCCAATTTGAGCCCATTTATGTTGAACGAGGTGGTTTACGAATGCAATTTTTGTGTATACCAAGAATATACAAATACACGGCAGGGGGCGTGCTTTTTGTAACCGTTAGGTTCTAGGCACGCACTTGATGTTTGATATTACGGTCTGGTCTACCTTAAAAAAATGACGATCATAAAAAATACCATTGGGACGCCTCCGTGGTTGATCTATTGTAGCAGTGGCACACTCTAACAAATAAGCCAGCGAATCCTAGTCGTTTTGACTAGGCACCTTATCAGTATTTTTATTAGTAAACTGCAAACTTCAAATTAACATGTCACTTTTATTAACCCCCCCCCCCCCTTTTTTCTGTCTAGCCGTCTCCTGCACACCTGTGAAAGGTATGATGACTCAGTTCCCTATATACCTTTGTTTTCTAATAATTTAATAACAGCTTTACAATTATGTGACAAATGCTAATTGGACATGCATATTTTGTTAATTCAAATGAGCATCTTGATACCTTCATCAATGATTTTTATATTTGTACTAACTTTTTATTATTTTTGGTAATCACGTAATAGGGAAACAGTGTATGCCCCATTTTATATCTTTAATAATAATGAAAATCTGCATCGATCAATCTTTTCAATGATAAATTATTACAAAAGAGGTGAAAGAAACCACGGGACATTCAAAACTAATAAGTCGAAAAGAAACTGACAATACAATGACAGAAAAACGAAAGACGACGAAGGACAAACAAGTCCACAAAACACTGCATAGAAAACTGAAGCCTGAGCAGCTGTTTATTATGTTCACTCTCCATCGAGTTGTGAGTAAAATATCTTGTATCTTTGTTTTTCATTCGAAATAGTATAACAGTGTCCCTACCATTAACCGACCCTTCAATTTTCAATCAGGCCGCTTGGCTTTCTTAGTTGGATATGTATGAAATATTTGCCATTGGACGTTTATTAGATATAATCAATCATTCGATAGTTAACCCTGTATTGTTTTTTAATTTTACTTTATTTTCACAGATACATGTAACAAACGCTACAGTCACTTACTTTGGCAGTTACTGCATACACATGTACGTCTTATATAAACACACAACTTGACGAAACATGTATGCTGTCTTCAAGACAGAATTATTTGTTACTAATTATTGTCTTATTATCTATTTATATCATTCATTACAAATACTCCTACAAACCATGCTCAACATCTGTTTGTTTTAATCAATCACAATTGTGTACTTTTCACAATATGGGGATCCCAACACTCTTTTAAAGCTGCGTTTAACATTTGATATACAAAATAAAGATGTGTACGTTAGGGTGGGGATATATGCAATTAACTATATCAATAGGTAGCTGATGTACTGTTAGTACCCGAGGAAATCATTCACTCTTTAATAAAAACATACATAGACGAATTTAGCGGGGCATGGGGACAGGGGCCCTTCATTGGGCTACATAAAATGCATATATGTAGCGTTGCTTAGTTTTGGGGCTACCCTTTTCAAAATCCTGGATCCGCATCTGTCATGTACATACAATGTACTGTATACATGCTGTACTAGTATTTGATATTACGAAAAGTGGGTGAAGTACGTATAAGGGTTTAATTTGGCATATCAATTTATTATTTTTTTATAATAGGAATATGAATGAAATATAAATACAAATCAAGTATCACAATGCAAAATCACTAGAATTTTGTCAAAATGCTTGCTCGATCACAGCCTTAATACACCTTTTTTAACTCAAAGGAAGAGGATATTAGATTTTGTTCTGAACTGTAAGAAATACTTAGTTGTTAATTTCTGTGTCATTTGGTCTCTTGTGGAATGTTGTCTCATTGGCAATCATATCACATCTTCTTATTTTTATAGTTTTAACAAGCTGGTTTGTACGAGCACATTCAAAAATGCGCGTACCATTTTTTTCCTCGTTGATGCCATATGTTGCTAGGTACAAAAATGGAAGATAAGTTTTATGCTATCAATTTCATTGCAACAAGATTCAATTTAATGTCTCATCAGTGAAACGTGTGACCAAATTTTTAAAAATCCATAATCTAAAACAAACGTTGAAGGGCTAACAAATAAAAAAGGACCAAAAATATTGCCAGACCCGGTCAATAATCAGTGCTAAGCACGAGGGAGATTCATTATTTAATTTCAAACAATTTCCTAGATTTTTAATTTCAGACAATATCCTTTATATGTTTATGGCTTTAGAATTGTGAGAGTACGAAAAGGATAACAATTTACCTATAACACAATATAATGTCTACAATCATGACAACGAACATGATGAAATCTCTGGAATTGCAAAGGAAACAAAAAATCTATGTTTTAAATAATCTTTTTAGCATAATATTTACGGTATACTATGTACAATATTTATAATTTTTACGGTTGCCAAGGATATGTTGCATGCATTTTTTGCTACATTTATGTAATTCATTACATATTACCCTGCGTATGTCGCTAATTATTCAACAAATTGTGGTTACTCATCTGAAATGAGTCGTAGTGTACTAGTAACCTGCAGATATATAAATATGTATACTCAAACTTTAGCAAATTTAATGAAAAGCTTTGTTGCTTTTATTAGCAATCTTTCAGGTAAGATCATTATAGACCATTATAAACGGAATTGTAAGTTTCGAATTTTCCACCAATGTGAATCACACATTGTAACTGAGTACCATGACGAAGTCTGCCTAGAATACACGCTCGTGACCTTTTTGACACACGCTATCACATCTGTTGTAGTAAAATTGGGTTAGAGGCCTTAAAAATACAAATTTCATACATTTTAAGGCTCTTCTGAATAAAGATGATGCAATATTAGCACTTGGGGGGAAAATGACTCAAACTTATGGACGAAAATAGAATGAAAAACAACTACAGGGTTAGAAAACATGTACCCTTGTTCTTTTCAACATCCTGCATAGATGAGATAAGGAATGTTTAACGAACTAAATTGGACAATAAAACAATAATAAAAACATTATATTTGTTATCAGAAAATTTAAACAATACTAAATATTACACATATTTACTTTCACGGTATTACAATCTGTCGATACCTATAGTTTGGATTTTGCACAAGGTCATGTTTTTCTCGGACTTTTAATGACATCTTTACACTAAATCCATGGATGTTGGATGTGTACTGATTGATCTTTTAGTCTTAGATACATGATTTTTTTATAAGTTGTTATTGGCTTTGAACTAGCTGTCAGTAACTGCGAGTACTCTCAGATCTGTACTTAGTGTCTTTTTGTTGTGGGGATGTATAAGTACCCGTCCACGTCCACTCTGTGTTTTTGTTGGATGTGTTTTCATTTGTATCCATCTGATGAGTTAAGCCTTTTTCAACCGATTTTTATAGTTTGTTCTTATGTTATACCACTGTCCCAGGTTAGGAGGAGGGTTGAGCGCTCACAAACATCTTTAACCCCGCCACAATCTTTATATGCCTGTCTCAAGTCAGGAGCCTGTAGTTCGGTGGTTGTCGTTGGATCATGTCTGTCATATTTGTTTTTCGTAAATTGTTTTGTTTTAAATTAGATCGTTAGTAATCACAATTGAATGGTTTCATATTTTTCATGTCGGGGCCTTTTATAGCCGACCATACGGTATAGGTTTTTCTCATTGTTGAAGGCCGTACGGTTGGCTATAATTGCTTACATCCACTTCATTTGAACTTTGGTGGATAGTTGTCTCATTGGCAATCATACCACATCGTCTTATTTTTATACTGTTTTAGAAATGAATCCCTACATTTCTATTGGAGATAGATCATGGATTTTTCAATTGTGTCATATCACCAATTCGGGAATGCCTATATTGCCAAGAATTACTCATAGATTGAGTTCAAACCATGCAAACTATTTAAGCATAGTACTACCATGATAATTTTACTAACAAATATTTTACAGCAAAAGTACTAGAAAAAAGTGGAGATACAACACTATAAAACTATTTTTCTCTGATCTACCGGTGCCCAACTAGATGCATACGCTATTATTATTCAATGTTAGTGTGGAAATACAACAGTTTAGTTCTGACAAAAACTCATAGAATGTAGAAATATCCTAATATATATATATAGGGAGATAGACTATTGCACCTGGATATAAAATATATAGCTATCTCCATTTTTTGTCAAAAGTGGACATACAACATGTACAATACTATAACTCACACGACGAAAATGTATTGCTGTTGAAAAAAAATTTGATGACATTTTACATGGGTTTATAACATTTTATATCGTAGGTTCGAATGACATCCTGAACCAAAACGAATTTCTTTGTATTTTAAAGATGTAACCCTAACAATGAAGTCGTTATATTCCGTTGCTCTACGATCGCTTCTTAACCTCGCGAGTAGAAGAGTCGATCACGGAGAGGGACTGAAATATTCCGGTAATTAAAAGAGGATGGTTCTACTATCGTACATGTATCAGTGCATTAGTCCTACAATTTTCAAACTTGAACTTTTGAACTTTACTTAAGTGACCTTTTCCGTGGTTTTGTTTGTGTGTCAGTCTGTGGTTAATAATACTTGTGTCCACTTAATTATGTGTTATTATCTGGCGCATCATAAGCACCGAAAGATAAACAATGGGTACGACGAAGGTCTGGAAATGGAAAAGAACGCCAACATTTGACACAAATGGCTAAATAAATATTCTGCAATGCCCTTTTATTCTCATTTATATATATATTTAAATCTTGTGTTGCTTTTCGGACACGGGGAGAATTAATGTAACAAATAGTTTGAAAGAACAGCCCTCGCAACCATTTTACACAATGTGCAACTTTCATGACTTATCCCTGGCCCTGGTCGATTTTCACTGCTGGGTAACATGCATATACTTTTCTTCTACTCAAGTTTTTTTTATCC